AAAAAAAAAAAAAAAAAAAAAAAAAAAAAAAAAAAAAAAAAAAAAAAAAACAAGTGCTGCAGAGCTTACCCCACCAAGGAGAGCCAACGGAAAGAAGGAGAAACGCCAGGCACACCCGCATGCACTGCAGCAGACGCTATGTTTATTCCCTCCCTGCAGCAGCAGCAGCAGCAGCAGCAGCAGCAGCAGCAGCAAGAGCAGCAGCAGCAGCAACAGCAGCAGCAGCAGAAAGAGCAGCAGCAGCAGAAAGAGCAGCAGCAGCAGAAAGAGCAGCAGCAGCAGAAACAGCAGCAGCAGCAGCAGCAGCAAGAGTAATCCATGCAGGGGGGTTGTGCATAGACCTTCACAGACGCCACGCAGCTACCCGCACCACCCTAAACCCTAAACCCTAAACCCTAAACCCTAAACCCTAAAGCTCGCCGCAGCACCACCAACGGATTCCCTAAACCCTAAACCCTACACCGTCAAACCCTAAACCCTAAACCCCAAACCCTGAAACTCTAAGCCCTAGATAGACCCTAGACCCCAAACCTTAAACCCTAAACCCTAAACCCTAAACCCTAAACCCTAAACCCTAAACCCTAAACCCCTGACCTCAAGAAGGGTTCGACGGCTGTGTGGGCCCCCGCGCCAATCACCGGCCGCCAGGCGCTCTCCCAGAACTGCAGCAAAACAACACAGTCAGCAGCAGCAGCAACTGCAGCAGCAGCAGCAACTGCAGCAGCAGCAGCAACAGCAGCAGCAACTGCAGCAGCAGCAAGCACCAAACAACTGCAGCAAACTGTAGAAATGGCACTAGCAACAGCAGCAGCACCAGCAGCACGAAGAGCAGCAGCCGCAGCAGCACTAGGAGCAGCCGCAGCAGCACTAGCACCAGCCGCAGCAGCCCTAGCAGCAGCCACATCAGCACTAGCAGCAGCAGCAGCAGCACTAGCAGCAGCAGCAGCAGCACGAAGAGCAGCAGCAGCAGCAGCAGCAGCAGGGTTTACGCTGCGTAGTGTTGTCGGGACGCCTTCATTGCGCGCCTCGATGAGCAGCACATTTGCTATGTCTTCGTTCGCCAGCTGGCCGTCAGCCCCTTCTGCAGCAGCAGCAGCAGCAGCAGCAGCGGCAGCAGCAGCAGCAGCAGCAGCGGCAGCAGCGGCAGCAGCAGCAGCAGAAGCAGCAGCAGCAAGGATAGCAGCAGCAGCAACAACAAGAGCAGTAGCAGCAATGGTAACAGGAGCAATAGGAGCAGCAACCACAATAACTACAGCAGCAGCAGCAGCTATGGCAGCAGCAGCAGCGGCAGCAACGATGACAGCAGCAGCAGCAGCAACAGCAGCAGCAGCAGCAACAGCAGCAACAGCAGCAGCAAAGCCACCTACCGAATTCGACGTGGATAAAGCTCAAGTACCCGTAATCAGGTTCAGTCAGTTCATTGCGCTGCTGCAGCTGCTGCAGCTGCTGCTGCTGCTGCTGCCGCTGCTGCTGCAGATAGAGCAGCTGCCGCCGGTGCAGCTTCCTAGGCAGCACATGCGGGTCGGTCCAGCGTGTTGCTGCTGCGACAGCAGCAGCAGCAGCAGCAGCAGCAACATCTGCTGCTGCTGCTATTTCTCGCATTCCGTTTGAATGTTCACGATCACCATCTGCTGCTGCTGCTGCTGCTGCTGCTGCTTCTGTTGCTGCTGCTGCTGCTGTTGCTGCTGCTACAGCTGGCAGTGCTTGGTCTACTGGGCTGTTCGATAGCAGCTCCAGAGCAGCACCAACAAAGAGAGCAACAGGACCTTCT